GGGTTGAATAAAGACATACGTCCATCAAGTCCAACCCATATAGGTCCACGCATCATCTCATTCTTAGGGATACTGGTATCCCTGGATATTACGGTCCCTCAAGAAATTGTCCAAACGTTTCTTGGACAAATCTACACTCTTGGCTGAAATCACTGCCGATGGCAGTGAGTTCCAGACCTTAACCGCTCTTACTGTAAAGAACCCTCTTCGCCCATTGTGCTGGAATTTTTTCTCCACCAACTTTAGGTAGTGGCCTCTAGTCTTTGTAATGGAGTTAATCTCAAACAGTTTGTTGCCAATGTTGCTGTCACCATTGAACATCTTGTACATGAAAATCATATGCCCCCTTAATCGCCTTAATTCCAGAGTAAACATGTTAAAGGTCAGAAGCCTTGTCTCATAGCTCTGGTCCTCCATTCCCCTAATTAGTTTTGTTGCCCTCCGCTGGACTCTCTCCAGTTCAAGGACATCCCTTCTCAGTACCTGCGACCAAAACTGGACCGCGTACTCCAGATGTGGCCGAACCATCGATTCTGTGCTATACTGTCCAGATGTGGCCGAACCAACAAGGTTCTGTGCTATACTGTCTGAACTGAACTTTATGGAGGTTTGAACTGTGTGTGCTCATCCTGTTTTGGAATTGCAGAAGTGGGGTTGCAAATTCAGCTATGGGTTCTTATGCCACCAATTCTGAATCAGGACAAAATACATATTTAGATATAAATACCAATACACCGATATTTTACAATTAACAGTTTATTTGGATTATTTCTAAACAAACAAAAAAGACACATCATTATATGGAGTTGGCAAGTGTAAATAATGTTTAGTGGATACCATATTTACTGATGAGCAAACATAAATTGATGCATACATTAATTGTGCAAATGTATTTGATATTCTCAAAATATGAGCATGCTATGTTATACTTAGTATTTGCATGTACACAAATAAATTGTGTTAAAGGCAAGGTGTCACTAGCTTATAACAAAATAAATAGATATTTGTATTTTGCACATCTTACTTGAAGAAAAGAAATGGGTTTCATTGTAATTTAGGACGGCTCAAACTTCACTATGGTAAACTGTGGTATTTAGTTTACTGTTGATCCATTTTATACAAGGGTAGAGGTGACTAAAATCCTTAAACTTTCCCACATTGCAAAAGTTTCCCAGATATGACAGTGTCAGCCTTGTAATTATACCTTTTATTTCATAATAAGAAGAAATTTCTGACAACCACAAAGGGGAAAAACTGCTTTAAACTCCACCACACTGTTGCCACAAGTACTAGTATGATTTTCACCCTAGCAAACTCTGAATAGACCGTCTTTTTTTATATAGAAAATACATCCCGTTCTTTCTCATCCTATGACCTGATGCCATCTTAGATTAAAGAGATTCTCTTATTGAATTCTATTAAATTACACATTTAAAAAAATAATATACATAGGATAGCTTGGCCTATACATGGAAAAAAATTAAAGACAAATTATACAGTAATATTTTTCACTCCATGACGTTATAAATGATCTTCGCTCTTCTTATTAAACCTTAAAGAAAACAAAGAATACATTGTGATGAAACAAGGTATAAGGGTATTACCAAATACAAACATACAAAAAATTAGGATAATACAGCAGTACAATCTATATGAAGAAAATGCAATCAGAAAAATCATTTTATGTATTTTTTTTACAATGGTTTGATGTTGGTCCGTGGTTTGATCAATTTTTGAATGGGTTATGATATGTATGTATGTATGTGTGTACAAGAGATTGGGAGGGTGAGGGGAGTAAGGGGAATGAGTCACTGGTCTGACTCAATCACTTGTATGTGCATAAAGTTTAGCTTGAGCTGGTGAGCAATGTGAATGTAAAAACAACTGAGAAGCATCTTAAATGCAAGAAAGTTACACCCATGCAGACAAACTGTAACGGAGAAAATGTGTGAACAAAGTGTGCAGCTTCCAACTGTCTATGAAACAAGGATCCTGGCAAGTTACTGTGGACAGCAGAGACTTTTTGCTCTAAGCCATAATTTCATACATGAGTAACAAAGTAACCAAATGATTGCATCAGACCAAGAACAACACTGCAGTGACCTGAAGAGTTGGCAATTTCTTTCTGTGACTATTCATATTTCAATCTGATTGTTTAATAATTTAATTATATCTGTAGCATCGGTATGTTTGTTGATCACAAAACAATTGGGCAGATTGGAAAAATTTAAACATGTCCTTGATGTGGTCGCAGTGAGCATGTTATGGTCAATTCAGTGTCAAATGGATATTTTTAGAGCATGGATGAAAACAGTTAAATGCAAATTTTGGTTGCAAAATACATTTCTTGCAAATATAAATTGAATCTCAAACATTTGATTTGTGTATGGACATCATATACCTCTCTTAGACGAATGTAAGATGAATATTCTTAAGCTGAGAGATAACTATGACTACCTATAAAAAGTCTATAGCTTTCTCAAGCAAAACAACACATTTGAGCATGGTGTTAGATAACCAGTAGAATGTAATTACAGAATTGTCATTTATGTCTGACTTTGGCAATTGCAGAAGTAAAGTCAAGTTTCAGATTTGTTGTATCTAAGAAAAGAGCAACTTTTCTATGAAAGGGTGTATCATACTTTAGCAAGTTGTGCGTCATTAGAAAGGAGATACATTTAATTGTAAGACATGGAACTTTGTAAGTTTCCTATTATAATGGAGTCATTTGTTTCTTTTTATAATTACATTTTCTTTGCTCAATGTGGCATTAAAACTAGTATTTTATTGTGTCATGCACTTTACGTTTTGTAGTTAATTAGTTTGATGTTTAATTACCAATTTAGTAGGGCTGCAACAACTAATCGACATAATCGATTATAATCGATTATTGAAAAAGTTGTCAACTATTTCAATCATCGATTAATCGGCTTCCGATTGGTTGCCCCTGTTCACGGCTCCACACACGCTGCGCGCCACACCTCCTCCCCACCTCAGACCCACCTGCATCCATGCTCCACACGCCACACCTCCTCCCTGCCTCACGCTCACTGCCGTGAGGCGAAGGTGTGGGTAAGGAGGAGCAGGTGTGGGCGGATGACAGCCGCCGATAGACAGGCCCCATCTCAGAAACAGGTTGCTGGAAGACTGCTCAGGTAAGCCTGCACTTTCCCCACATGGTGCTCTATAATCTATGGCTGGGATAGTGGGATTTGTATTCCTCTATAGTTGATGGTACATTGTGCTGTATATTATACAGACCAATGTACCATCAGCTATAGAGGACTACAAATCCCAGCAATACATTATACACTGTATGTATAATGTATTGCTGGGATTTGTTGTATTCCTATATAGCTGGTGGTATTCTGCATTGCGCTGTATAGAGGACTACAAAACCCAACAATAGTACATTATAGAGCGCAATGCGGAATTCCACCAGCTTTAGAGGACTACAACACCCAGCAATAGTACATTATACAGCGCAATGCAGAATACCACCAGCTATAATGTACTATTGCTGGGATTTGTTGTATTCCTCTATAGCTGGCGGTATTCTGCATTGCGCTGTATAATGTACTATTGCTGGGTTTTGTAGTCCTCTATAGCCGGTGCCATTCTGCATTCATTGCTATATAATTTTACCCTTTTCATTTCACTATATTGCACACCACACTTTCTTTTTTTTTTCTTTTTTACTTCCACCGCTCCAAGCTTGCTCCTGTGATGGACTGCAATCTCAATACAAAATACCGGAGCCATTTTTAAAAATGTATTTTATTTTCTATCCGATTAACCGATTAATCGAACTTAATAATCGGCTAACTAATCGATTTTGAAAATAATCGTTAGCTGCAGCTCTACAATTTAGAGCAACATTATTGTGTCTTTTTCAGACATGTTAATGTAAAGTTTTTCTTCAGTTAGTATTTACTGGGGTGAGCTATTCTTTACAAACCACATTCCAAACTTTGAATCTTGCATGAAAATATCAGATAAGAAATCTTACTCTTGGTCCAAGGAAGTCATTTCTGGCTCGGCCGGCATACACGCAGCTCTGATCATCATAAAACAGAAAACAAAGAAAAGCATGACTTTTGTTCAGTGTCATTTCGAAAACCACAAATACAAACACATGCAGAATGCTTTTTATGAGCAATGAAAGGCAACCATGAACTTTTAGAAAACATTATGTGAACAAGTCTGCTACATAAGAGTAACTAAAATGTGAATTGTTTTTTAGCACGTGATGGAAAAAACAACATGTGAAATATATCCGTAATTCCCAACTGTTCCTATTTGGACCGACTGTACTTCTTTTCAAAAAAAAAACCCTCTGTTCCTTTTCCTCCTCAGCTGGACCTTTTTTTGGCCCGATGAATAGACCACTATTTAGTGCTGGTATACAGCACTAAAACTTTCATGTAGGAAAGCACCAACATCAGTACTAACATCTAATATGAACAAATGAACATTAATCTTCTTCAAGACACTGATAGTGATACCCAGCATTAAGAATGACCAGAAATAGTTTTTTGTTTTTGTTTGGGGCGGGTTGTAATCTTTACGCCCAGTGTAAAGCTGGGCAAATGCCATTCACATGGCACAAGATGGAGCTGGGGAGCATAGGAATTCATATGGCATTCATCAGTCCCTTTGTGTGTACTGTTTCTTAAAATTTTTTACGTTTCCATTTTTGCTTTGTGTAAATAAACTAATATGGGGCACTTTTTTAAACACAAAAACAGGACCAGGATAGCTGAAAATAGCTCCTGTACCCCTCATGAGCCATTTAAAGTCTATTGCAAATCTACATACCATCAATAACCACCTTTATCGTGGACTCCAATGCATTTGGCCATATTTTGCTAAAATCTCTACCCTTTTTGACAAAGTTTTGAGGAAATGAAAACTCAAATTTCACCTATCCCAAGTCAGTATGTTTTTTTCCCTGTTCAAACAAAACCTGGCACTGATGCCTGACTACATCAATAACAAATCTTATTTGTATCTACCTATTTCCTCTAACTTTAAAAATAAACACTGGGATAGAATCTGACTAAACCACCAGCTCTCATAACTGTATACCCCTTATACTACTATGGGCTTGTTTATTCAGTGATAACTTTGTCAATACTTAAGACAACAAAGAAATACATACATTGGGGGGAATTTATCAAAGCAATTGGAACTGTTTTAGCCTCTTAGACCATTTTTTTATGTGCAAATCTGTTTTTTTAACATGTACCCGTTTTGACCTGAGCTTGCACTACTTTTGCAACTGCACGTGTTTTGCACCGATTTTGACCAGAGCTTGCACTACTTTTCCAACTGCACGTGTTTTGCACCTGTTTTGACCTGAGCTTGGACTACATTTCCAACTGCACGTCTATTGCACATTGCACCTGTTTTGACCTGAGCTTGCACTACCTTTTCAATTGCATGTTCTTTGCACCTTTTTTGCACCTGTTTTCATCTGCACTTGTTATGCGGCTGTCTGAAACTGGAGCGTCAGCTAACAAAACAATCTCAACTTAAGAAGTCCCCATAACCACTTCTTTAAGAAGTGACAGTGAAGCTTTTTGCCTGCAGTTACGAGTCTTCTTTCCTGGAGTCTGTTAAACCTCATTCATTCATAATGTTTACACTAGCATCATAAATCTGGTGCAAAGTACATCAAATATATTCCGTGCAAGTTCAAACACTTGCAATTGCTATCATAAATTCCTCCCATTGTTTTTTGAGGACAAACTAGGCTTTCTTTTGGCAATGTTGTCCTGCATAATTATTTTATTTTTTTATTTAATTAAAATTATTTATTTTTTTCAATTTTGCACATTTACTTTTTTTATGCAACACTTTGAAAAATGTACAAAAATTTAAAATAAATGAAAAAAGGAAACAAAAAAATCTAATATTAATGGTGATAAAATAGAAATAAAAAAATCAGCAGAAAAATATTTACAAAAGGGAGGAGAGGAAAACATTAATTGGGGCTGATTAGGGTTAACAAGTGTTTAAATAGGAATGCATGCTAATTAAAAAAATTATATATTTGTTTATATTAGTAAAGTTTCATTAACTGATGTCATATGCTGATCCAAGGCCACACCTTTTTTGCTGCATAATACTCAGCGATTCCTGGCTGTCATTTTAAAAGCTGGTAATTGCTGACAATAGTGCCAGGAGAGTGTCCGCAGAGGGAGAGGAGCAGGATGTGCAGGACTTGCACCCTAGAAACTTTGTTGACAAATGTGCTGTACGCCAAATGATAAATATCACTGAGTTTTCAGTGCTACCCTATTATGTTCTATGTATGTTTAAGTAAGCAAATAAATGCAGAATACCCATAAGTGTATTAGCTGGAGCAGACTAGTGCCTGCTAATAAGCAGACTTCATCTAACTTTTGTGGTTGCACCTGCAGTATCATCTGTGAGTACATACTTGCTGAATGATGGGTACTGTAATTATGCATGAGTGCCCTTAAAAGTTGAAGTGAGAGTACGAGGAGATGTACAGTGGGTTGGACATTTTAAGAGGTGTATTTATAAAGCAGTGAATGTGACATTGATCAAACATTCACTACAGTAAAAAAAAAAAAAATGACAGTAGCGTAGAACACTGTTCCTTTTCTTTACATGTGACAGATTTGCTCTGAAACCAGTGCTGCATGGTAACTGAGAAGTTGAAACATATACTGACTTTTAATGTTTCTTGGGGACTTTTGTAGTAAGATTTCCACACCAGAATTCCTGAATTAGCCCAAATGCAACAAATTACAAAGCCAAATTGTAGTGTCAATGGCCAGATGGTTTCTCAATCAACCAGCCCCCCTCAGATATCAGAATGGGTGGAAGAACTTAATAATGTTATGCGATCTGAAGAACTCACATCTCGCCTACATAATTTAGGGAGAGGTGGAGCCCCTGGAGGGACTATATGAGTTCATTAGGGATTCTTAGATACTTATAAGGACCAGGAGGAGGAGGGGGAAATAAGAGGAAGTAGAAGGGGGAAGGAGTGGGAACGTAAAAGGGAAGGAAAAGGGGAAATACTATATCTAGATGTCTCTCTGCCAAGTAAACTCTCTGTTGACTTAACTTCCTTTTTATCAAATTATCGAATATATCTATAATGCCCTTGTGGATGTCTAAGTATGAATGAGTTGGGGGGGGGCAAGGAAGACAGGTATTAATGATATGTCTTGTCTATACGTTATATGGTAGTAATTATGCAGAGGGAATGTTATGACTGGGATAATAAATTATATATGTTAAGTGTTGAGTGTATGGATTGATTCTGTTGTTGATATCTTGGTGATATGTGAAATTTGAAATCAATAAAATAAATATTTAATTCAGATGGTTCCTCAATACTGAGTAGAAAAAGCAAATCTTTTGGAAAATCCAGCTGTGTGAGAATAATACAAACTACTACAGGGAAAAACCTCATCCACAGTGAAGGTGTAAAATGCATAACATCCAAAAATCCAAGCAGTTGAAAGAGTTGCCATTTAAGCTAAACATAAAATTCCATCCACACACAGCATTTGAAGAATGGGACAACTTTTTATAACCCTGCACTTTGGAAATCATTTTTTATAACCTTTTTTTATTCCAAGTGATCATTTTATATTATACAATCAAATGACATATTTGGTTAACTATTGATATTAATGGATGCTGTTAGAGAAAATCAAACAATGAAAAATATCTACTCTGTCAATGATTTGACTAGTCTTGAAGCAGAACTGCGGGCAAAACTTGTATTAACCGTTGCAGTGAGGCTACCCTTGCACTGCAAGAGTTAACTGCTCGTTTTGATTTAGTTAAGAGAATAAAGTTACACTCATCTGAGCCTCGGATCCTGTGACGGCACTCCCTCCAGCCTGTCTCCTCCTCTTCCGCAGTGATGGTATGTCTCTCAGCGATCTCAAAGTCTATACACAGAGTATAGAATGTGATGACTCGATGATAATTAGCAGAGGCGGAGTGAGGTTGAAAGGACCAGTCTAAGGCCCCATTCACATTCAGTTCGGCTGCGCGGATTTGGCAGCGCGGATCCGCCAACATCGGAACGATGAACAATTCCATACATCCCATACAGCATGGTTTCCATACAACTTTCAATGGAACAACGCTGTTCAGCGAGGTTTTGGGAGTTTTTAATTGGGTTTCAGCTCTGAAACGCAATTCAAAATGCCCAAAATCGCCTTGTTAAAAATCGTGCGGAAACTACGCTGATCCACACCCGGAGCAAGCCGGCTCAAAGGATCAGATGAGTATAACTTTTTTTATTTTACCACCTAGGCAAAAGCAAGCAGTTAATCCTTGCAGTGAAGGGGTAAAATAAAAGAGTTCTTCTTTGGGGCCGGTACACACCACTTCCAGTGCGTTCTAGCATGATTAGCTGCTGGAATGCACTGTACCGAAACGCAGGCATTGATGTGCGATCACACTGCGGAACACCCCAGAACGTGATTCAGTGCATTCCAGCAGCTAACCGTGCTGGAACGCACTGGAAGTGGTGTGAACCGGCTCTTAAAGTGACATTAAAGTCAAAGATTTTTTTCCCTCCCCCAATGTTAATTAAAGCACTTACCTTAAATGATGCCTCTTAATCCGATCTTCTTCTTCTTTCCTGTCATTTTCATCTGTCCCTCCAGCACTGCGGCAGCGCTCCAATCCAGCGCTGACTCCTCTGTCCTTGCTGGTACGTCCTGTCCCACGGTGTCTGCTTGTGGGTGCACGCCGTCCATATACTTACCTTGTGTCTCTCCTCGTCTCCCGGCCAAAATTGTGAACTGCGCATGCGCCCGCCCCAAGATGCTTTGCGGCCGCCCGAGAATTTTAACATTTTAGGACGGGAGCACACGGCGAAGACACATGTAAGTTTAAACCGCTTTTAAAGCATTTATTTTTACACTTTTTGCATATATCTACTGCTTGCTAGCAGTAGATATATGCAAAAACACCACCAGAGGGTTTAATAACCCTTTAAAGTGACATTAAAGTCAATTTCCCCCCTGATGCTGCTTTAAAGACTTACCTTAAGTG